GACTGACGTTAATTTTCTGAATTTTCTATGATTCCACTATTTGTGTCTTTATACGTATTGTAAGATTAAGGAAGATCATTATTACATAACAACCCCCCCCCCCAGTGGCATAACGGTATGTCTGCGGATATATATCGCTAGAAACCGGGTTTCGATACCCGTGGTGGGCTGAGCACAAATAGCCCATTGTGTAGCTTTGTGCTTAACTACAAACAAACAAAAAACACGACAGCCGGTTGTTTACGTGTTGTGAGATTGAGGAAAATAATTTTTACACAACAGCCGGTTGTTTACGTGTTGTAAGATTGAGGGAAATAATTTTTACACAACAGTCGGTTGTCTACGTGTTGTATGATTGAGGAAAATCATTGTTACATAATAGCCAGTTCTTTACGTGTTGTAAGATTGAGGAAAATCCTTGTTACACAACAGCCACTTCTCAACGTACTGTAAGATTTAGGAAGATCAATGTTACATAATAGTCGATTCTCTATGTACTGGAAAATTAAGGAAGGTCGTTGTTAGATATCAGTCGATCTTCTACGTTTTTTTAAGATTTAGGAAAATCATTTTTACATAACAGCCGCTTCTCTACCAGTTGTAAGGTTAAGAAAGATAATTTTTACTCAATAGCCAGTTCTCTACCTGTTGTAAGATTAAGAAAGATAATTTTTACACAATAGCCAGTTCTCTACTTGTTGTAAGATTAAGAAAGATAATTTTTACACAATAGCCAGTTCTCTACTTGTTGTAAAATTAAGAAAGATAATTTTTACACAATAGCCAGTTCTCTACTTGTTGTAAAATTAAGAAAGATAATTTTTACACAATAGCCAGTTCTCTACCTGTTGTAAGATTAAGAAAGATAATGTTTACATAATAGCCAGTTCTCTACCTGTTGTAAGATTAAGAAAGATAATTTTTACACAATAGCCAGTTCTCTACCTGTTGTAAGATTAAGAAAGATAATTTTTACACAATAGCCAGTTCTCTCCCTGTTGTAAGATTAAGAAAGATAATGTTTACATAATAGCCAGTTCTCTACCTGTTGTAAGATTAAGAAAGATAATTTTTACACAATAGCCAGTTCTCTATTTGTTGTAAGATTAAGAAAGATAATTTTTACGTAACAGTCGATCCTCTACGTGCCTTCATGCTCATTGTTTCCATCTGCGTAAGTTGGTACTTTCATGTTTATTAATTGTGGTTGAAATAGCACGAAGGACTTGTTCCGTCCAAAGTTGAGTTGCTTTTTCTTGAAATACCTAATAGCAGCTAGTTGGATACACAAGCTCATCATTAAAATGGTGATAATGATAATAACATACCCTACAGACTTTACGAAAATTTACTTCAAGATTATTAGTGTGATTTTCGTATTTAAAAAAAGCTAATTCGAAAATGATTCAGAAAGTCTATTTATCACGTAATATTCATTTTATTTATTTATATATGCTTCTTCAGATATAATTCTAAGTGCAATTATTGTGTTCTGTCAAAGAGCGAAACAAAATTATGAAATACGAGTGAATTTAGTTGGCGAAATTGGGAAAGGTAAATTAAGTACGGCTTTGAATATTTTATTTTAACGAATAATGATAAAAACCCTATAACCCGAGCGCTTTCGGAAGG